CTGTATTGTTTCGGAGTGTAATCATTAAGTTATATTGCTCCAGCTTCTGAATGGTTGAAGATAAGATACTAAAGTAATATATATTCTTAAACATTTAATATTAAACAACTTTCTTCCTCATGACTTTTTCGTAAAATTAAAAGATAAAGAGTCAGCGACTCAAATAATGATAAAAATTCTAGACAAAGACAATTCTTCTTCGAACTTATCACGAAAACTATAGAAAATAACGAAAAAAATAAAATAACTGTTTCTGTGGCAAATTTTGTCAGCTTTAATTTTACAAATAAGATTATTATCGACTAGTAAGTCCGTGAGAAAATTCACCCAGCATATTGTTCAGTGGTAAAATAATAAATAAAACAATGCAACTTATCATAAAATAAATCAACTGTTACTTTCTCGCTAAATATAATCGATAAAGGAAACAAAAATTAATTAAAAACTTTATTAATGTTTGGAACCAACATGTTCACAAATTTCAATAAGTTATATCTTTATTAACGATTGTCCGATTTCGATGATTTTTTTTTTTCCTTTTGTGGAGAATTTAGTAATATTTTATATAACCATGGACATAACCATAAAATTTTTGGCTCAATCTTGGAATTTGGTGAAGAATTGACGATGATATGGCTTGCCGACATAAAACACCTTCGATAAATAATATAAACTCCTCTCTCGATCATAAGGGCCTCAAGTAGACGAAATGAGACATGTATTCAATGACAGTGCTACAATTAACGTAAGGTTGTGTGAATGCGAACCTTTCGAAAATAGTATGTTTTTTGGCTTAAGAACTGGGCCCGATAATTCCGAGGGAACTTGCTGTACGCATCAAAATCTTCAAAGCCCAACTTGTCCCGTATCGATCTACAGACTTACCATTGTTCCAATATTGAAGCCTAGCAAAATGTTTGTATCGGCTTTATTTATTTTAAAAAGAAAAGCAAAAGCGGGGAGTACGATTCCTTAAACCCCCGTGAAATTCTGAATCCAACAGTATCCCTGTCATGGTATTTGAGCATGACAGGAGCTTATATTTGGTACAAAACCGATTTCGATCCTTACTGTAAAATATATGTGGAGAATGTGTGGATAGAACGCGTGGTTTCACTGATATAAGCGAAACACTGAACAAAGAAAACTTTTTGAATCATAAAATAAATTTTTCTACTTGAAATCCACGGGTATGGAGTAACTGATTATTATTTAATGTCTTAACAATGTAAATATTATGAATTGAAAGGGTTGATAGCTTTCTATATCTATAAGCCCTCTCTATATATACGTTTACTACCTATATAGGGTCTCTATCTATCTTCACCTGGCCACCATTTTGTATTCCAGCGGCTATGTACTGGTAGAAGTGGTATTTTTCTCATCAGGCCTGTGAATATGGTCAATTTATAGGGAGACATTTTAGTATGAAATATGACACCTTTTTTGCCACGGGCTTTGGGACTAAAAAAATAAAAATATCATAAAAGGAATGAAATACAGCCTATGGCGGAGTCTATTATTTTGAACTCACTGGGAATCCTTCACCATAAAATCTGGCCACTGCTTTATGGATCCGGGTGACAGCATTGGGAAGAATGAGGATGAGATAAGAAAGGAAACAACAAATGACATTTTTATATACAAAATATATCGAGCTGAATCGTTTCCCTAGATATTGTATACCAGATAGATTAGTATGCTGTGTCAGTTAGCAACTCAACAAAGTTGAGCGGTATTAGGATTTTATCATTGCAGTTCTCCCTACTATAATTAATTAATCATCATTTTGATTATTTCGATCAATATTTTTTTTTTTTAGTGTACTAATAAGGTATCAGAGTTTTACCGATGATTTAACCAAACATTCTTCTTTGTTGAGAAAAAAAAAGTTATCACTTCGAATCATATTTCATTATTATCTAGAACAATTATTTACTGTTATTGGTTTTTAAATACTTTTAGAAAGCACTTAAATCATAATTGCAATTTCGAAATATCTCCATAATTTCTGTATCTATTATGAAGCCTGACTCATCGTAAAGTTAATAGGTAAGATAGTTCTTTATGATTTATGGCTGTTCTACAATGAATTTGCTAATGGTTGCCATGAATTTTAACCTATTGTTGTAATTGATGGAAGAAATTATTCTTATAATGAATGTATTGTTTTATATGTCATGCATTAAAATTTATATTAATGGAACAGTGCCAAAATGAACGAAATAGAACAAAACATATTTGAAATGATTAAAGGTGCTTTGAATAAGAAATCACCATGGCTGCTGATTACTCCAACTTCTTAAATGTTGAGATTTATTATTAGATTATCGAACGATCGTTTAATGAAAATACTATAGATTTTTACATATCGCCTTCCGGTATTGATTTAATGGGATTTCATCGATATAAATGTCCATTATTATATGACCGAAGACGCTTTTTATAAAAATTGGGACAATTACTGATTTCGCTCCATCTGTGTATTGACAGTAATTTTAAATCATATGCTTCTGTCCCCATGGTTAAGGGAACAGCATCCTATTTCCAGGTTGGTTTTGCCAGGAATTTTTCCCTCTCGAACCTCGGGTTCCCATCCCGTCCCAGGCAAAAGTAGGCAGGTACCTGCTTGCCCCAACTAACTCTAGAAATAAGAACTAAACATACCAACCAGAAACCATAGAAACTAAAAAGTACAACTATAAATTTTAAAATGCTAATTTTATTAAATAAAAAAGGAATTTAATTTCTTAAAATTCTAAATTTGTATTACTCCTGTAAATTATTGTATTATTAAACACCCGTATTGCTCATAACAAGATAATATGGGAATAAATAATAAAAGAAATATCAATTTCATTATATTACATCTATTGTTTTCTCTCACACATGCCCAAATATATTTTCTTAGACATGCTTATATTTAAAAAAAAAGGCTCCTTTAATTTATAAAGTTGGAGAATATAATATAAATTATGGTTTAGGATCACATTAATCAAATTCAATTCAAAAATCAAATTAATGTAATTTTCAAGAATATAATATGAACATTTTTTCACTTAAAGAAACTATATTTTTATTCATAGAAGGATTTGTATCACTTTGATCTATTTATGGATTGTTTGAATCGATAAATAAGTTGGAAGTTTATTTATAAAAGGAAACTAAAAAATATAGCTCCATTAAAAATGTACTTAGTCCTTGGCATGTACTTAGTAGATGTTTTATACAATAATTTGTTCGTATTTTGAGTCCAGATTGTTTCGAAACACTCATGGAATCTCATCGAATAAGTTAGACATCGAAGTTAAAAATCGATCCAGCCATGGACCTGAAAAATCGTTAATATACCGTTCAAATGACTATCCAAATTTTTAGCGTGAATTCATCATAGTAGGACGAAAAGAAAAATAGTAAAAGTTAGAGTTGAACTTGGTTGAAGCTAAAATTTAACGAAAACAAAATAGAATGAACACACTTTAATTAACCAACTGTATAGAATTTATTTTGTTGAAGTTGAGATAGTACAAATTAAACCTTATTGCAATACGAGAACAAGTTAGTCAAAGGTGGTCAATATATAATACCACATATTCTAATAGTATTATCTTCTTCATGACATTGTATATTGCAATACATGTGCGACACCCATTTTTTCAAAAAGAGAAAATTTACTAATAGAATCAATTTCGTGAGGAATTTCAGAGCTCTACTGGCTCTAAATAGACGTATCATTAATTCTATTTTTACCTTCCGAGTCATCTAAATATAAAATGAGGCTTTCTATTTATTTACAAACACTGTTTATTTTCTATTTAGTTACAAACGGGCTATCTAATATAGTCATTTTTGAAACAGACTATGTATACAGTTTAAAACCTGTAGACAAATATTTCGATTTTTTTTTTTTTTTTTTGCCTTTATAGGCGAGAACGTTTCTTCTGATTCTATAACGCTGAGTGATTGTTATAAAACTCCTATTTGATAGCATTAAACAAATATTTGTTCCAGAAAACATCTTCAAAAACATTTTTTTTTATACGGTGTTCACTTTTTACAACATCATAAATCTAATCCATGATTTTTCAGAAGATTCATGTCTGATAATATAGTATAAATAAGAACTGAATTGAAACTATGTTACATATCTAAAGGGAATATTCAATAATACAATCTTATAATGTACATTCTGGTCATCCAATTTACACTAAAACTTTCAAAAGCGAGGACATTTCAAAATGGCGCGCACTGTTGGGGAAGAACCGAGTACATGAAAACTGCATTATTTAATGAAAATTTTTTTAAGTCAACAAGAAACTGCGAGATTTTAATAGCTTAAAATCTTCAAGGTCCAACGAGGAAGATCTCGCAAAAATCTACGTGTAAATCCATCCTGTAGCTTTAGTCGGGCGTGCCGAGAAGTTAAAAAATTAAATAAATTTTTATGGTGTTACATTTTTACGAGGTTTTAAATTTTTGTGGCGTTGAAATTTCAAAGCACTATCAAACCAGGGAAAACAGAAAGTATTTAAAATCCAAGATTTACAATTTTTAAGGTGGCTAAAGATCTACATGGTCTGTTAACCTAACAGAAAAAAAGAATTTTCAATAATCCGTTGCATAACAATTAAATTATTTACCTATGTTTTTGTAAAAGAATCATAATAAAGATATTAAAAGAATATAAAGGAATTTTGAAATTTCTGAATGGAACTATAAAAATTAGAAAGTTTCAAACCAAACAAATAAGAAAATTTTTATTTGTAAGCAAATGTTATTTCTTTTTTAACGACTAAATTTGTGATTCTAAAACCAACACTTAAAAAAACAAAAACAATACGAAACAGTGTTTTGTTTTACTGAATTCAGAAAGCATGACTCCTGAGTACTTGACTGCTGGTGGTCGCTATCTCTGAACATGCCATCAGCAACTATTGCGTATCTTCCAAACATCTGATGTGAGTGCAATCATATTCTCGAGATAAGGGAATCTTGAACAGTCAGCTAGTTATTTTGTAATGATTACTTCTCACTCCCACGGTCGTCCCATCACAATAAGAACTAATAATCTTCAACTTGAAGTAGACTGAATTCGATCTACCTAAACAGAACATTCAGAAATTTAAATTAACGTATTAGGCATTAGAGTAGAACGAAAAAACACTTTTTTTGCCTAGCAACTTTTTAATATCAATCAAAAGTCGTCTTTTTTAAATAAATAAAAAAAACACAACGAAATTTGCTTGTTATATATTTCTATGGCACCTGTGAGATATAGTGCAATATCTGAAAAATGCAAAAATCGTAATTCCGAAAAAACGCAATTGAAAGTTTAGAATTTTTACAGGTCACAAGTCCAATTTTCGAGTTCCGATCCATCATTCACTATGGAATATCTATATCTGTATTAACCACATAACTTGGCCCATTAGACGTAGAGAAAGAAAGAAAAAATTAGATTTTTGGTCAAAATTGCCATAATTGTAATTAACACATTATTCACAGATTTACATCTTGAGGTTCCGCAACAAGTAATAAGGTTATTGTAAAAATAACAAGTTATAAGGTTATTGTAAAAAAATTAAAAAATTTCTCTACATTAATTTTACATTTTTTTTATAAGTGATTCTTTTTAATCAATATGAATGGACTCTATTTCACTATAACAACAATAACATCAAATTTAAGTAAAAGCCTAAAGAAAAGTGAATTACAACAACCGACTTACAACAATCAACTGCCGACCAACACATACGTACTCTCTACTCTCGATTTCATCTTAAACTACACGGACATCACAACAGACTTATTAACGACATGGCCACAGCTGACATGCCCATCAGGAGACGACTAAAGAGAAGTTGGATGAGAGATCTCCTTTCCTAAATTATGAAGTAGACCAAGACCAGGAAGAGGTACTGCTGGGTACTAATCTTCCTCATGCCTGAAATGCCAATCTTCTTTACAATGATATCACATGTGTTTATTGTCAAGATTATGACAAGAGTGGATAGAAATATGAAATGAGAAAACGAAAAATTCTAATAGATTAATTCCATCACCCTTGAAGTTGTCATGACAACGTCTTAGACTAAGACACTTGATAAAAAAGTAACAAAACAATCAAGAGACAGAACATAAATGTTAGGTTATTAATGGAAAAATCCCAAACCATACAGTCTTATATCTCCAAAATACAGGCAAAGAAAACCCGTCAACGTTTCGCCAATTCAGGAATCAGGACAGAAAAACAGCTAATCGAACATGAATTGATGTTCGATTGCCTGTTTTTCTGTCCTTATGATGCCTGAATTGGCGAAACGTTAACGGGTTTTTCTTTGCCTGTATTTTGGAGAAATAAGGCTGTATGATTTGGAATTTTTCCAATAATAACCCAATACTTAATAAATAAATGCTTAAATCTTGAATTAAAATTTTGAATTATTAGAATCTAATGTATATATATATATATATATATATATATATATATATTTTTTTTTTGCATAAACAATTAAAAATATTATTTTGATATTACTAAATGGATCCAGACAAAAAACTGGTCCAGGCGTTATACTTGTAAAAACGTATTTCTTATTATCATAAACGTTTGTTAATATGCTTTTAAATTTTGTGTTTGTTTTATTATTATTTTTTCATTTTTATTTTTTATTTAGCTATTACGGTAGTACTTTTACGGCCAGTACTAGTAGTACGGCAAGGAATATACAAGCCCTTATACTTTCAAATTATTTATTCTACTTAAAACGACATTTCGACCTGATTAGCTCAGTATCAAGTCATCTATAAATAGAATTAAACAAAGATAATTTACAACTATGACCGCTCATTATCTAGTCATATGAAAATTTAGAACTTACCAAAAAAACATTTTTTTATCTACCAAAATGTAATTTCATTAATTGTAATTTCATTACTGCACCAAATACCAAATACAGCTATATTCCTCGTCTCCATGTTTCTTAATAATTGCTTAATTTTTTTTTATTTGTTAATATTAAGAAATATTATTAGTATCTCATTGTAATCTACCATTATTATACGTTGGCAAACATCACTTTTGTTGGCTGTAAAAATTTAATAAATAAATAATTTATTAATATTAGAATTTATCTTATAATTTATGAATATTTCGTTATTTTAATTGGGGAAGTTTGAATTTCTTTAAACTGAAGCTCTGAAACTCAAAATTTTTGTCCTATATTTTGTTCATACGGGACTGGTGTTTCTATCCATATAGAAAATAAATTGAGCATAACTGTACGAAATCGGTAAAATATTTGGATACAATAAAAAAAGAAAAATATTATTAAAAAAATATAATTACATTAAAATATATAATATTTCCAACTAAGGATCTGAATGACTGATAAAATTAGAGCTATGCTCGTAAAGCTGTATGCGGATATTTATAAATACTGATCTAATTCTGTGTAAGTAAACTTTGAATTACTTGAAGTGAAAATTAGTTCTCGTGTCTGAGAATAGAGGGAGCAGTGGGGCCCAGCTGGCAGAGGTGAAAATGCTCGAGACTTTCTTAGCTAATTATATTCACTCCTCAAATAAACTCACCACTCGAGTAAATTATCACACCTTCTAAATCACTTTTGTCGTTGTTAGCTGTCTAGGCGATAATTGTTACATAAGCGTTTAAAGTACAAAACTCTTAATGTAGTTATCTGTTTTTCACTAATTTTAAGATATGGGTGTCTGAATAATAAGTTATTACTCTACTATTTACTTATCAGGAAAACTATAGAAGAAGTGTATTTTTTTTTTAGTCCCCCACTCGCCTAAATGTATTATAGCAATTGCCGTGTTCAAAGCGGCAACACAGATTAGTTGTAATCCATGAAAATGAAGTTTTTTTGTTCTATTTTAAAAATAATTTCCAGCTAATGATCTAGGTGTTTTATTAAACACTTGTTGTACGGACCTCTTCTTATTAATATTACTCATTTAAACCTTCGTGAATCGCTTCATCTTATCGTAATCAACAAATTATTTATCTACAAAACTTCTAAAAAATGGAGTTTTCTCATTAAAATAATTATTGTATTGAGGACTAAAACTCATGAACCAACCATCCGTCTTTTATTTAAATCGTAAGATAAGTTGACCGCTAAATCGAGCGAAAAATATTACCGTTTGGTCTTTGTAACCTCGTTATTTTGATATGTTGAAGGCTTAGGTCACGCAAAACGGCACTATGATTTGTAGACAACTTTTTATCTCGATTTTGTGATCGATCTATCGATTCAAATGGTAGATAAATTAGTTTACTTGAGTTTTTAATTCTTCACTAAATTAACAAAGTTCACCATTCTCCAGATTGAAAACTCAACTTAGTCAATTTTGTGTTGGGGATAAATCAAACTTTGACAAGAATCGAGTAAGAGATAGTAAAAAATATCATAAATACATAATCATTGAGTTCTTTATACTACTGATTAATAATTTATTTAATATATATCAAAATATATATGATGTTATAAAAATGATGTCTTGTACACATAGAGCCTTAATACCTGATGCAATTGATTATGGAAGATTGTATTACTATTCGTCCAATAAACCAAAAATATTTTTTAAAAATGATGATTTCATAACCATTTTGATAATTATCTTATTTCGTTTCCCTCTTCTCAATTTATGACATACCGTAAACGTAAAAATATTAATCAAAACCAGGTATTCGTTCGTGACTGTGAAATAAAAAAATAGGTTTTTAATGATTGAACGATGAAAAGTAATACTATCTTGGACTGGAATTGTAAAATACAAATCCCTTCACATACATATTGTTTTTAAGACTTTAAGCAAAATTCGACATACAACTGGAGAAATTAAATATAGCGACCATTATAATTAACAGCTATTGGTAATTGGTTTAATTAATTTGGTAATTTATGGGACACTGAATTATTAAACATACCATTAACAAACGATGAATTAATAAATACCAATGTTTATTCACCTTATTACTGACCCATAATATCCTTCAAAAAATTGCTTTTCGTCAGAAGTGATCTATCTTAGTCTAATTGTGTTGATTTTAATTTTAAACTTTAACTTTAAAAATTGACCACTATAACAATAAGCAATATGGCCAACTGTAACTACTATTTTTTCTCCTGGAAAAATTAAAAAATGTTCACCCTTTTGATATAAAAAACAAAACAAAAATAGCAATTGAACAAAATTTGTTTTAGAATTTTTACCTATTTTTGAGTTCAACAATGTAATTTTATTTTCACATTCTCCCCACCCCCTCCACACCTCCTTCCCCTTTTGTTTTAAGCTACTCATCCGTTATCGATCAAACTTTTGGGGTTTCGGCTGCTCAAAGAGTTTCAAGAAAAATTGGTTTCAATTTTTATGTTTGTAATTTTAACATCTCTTCTCAGTCAACTTATTCTATTAAAAATTGATCCATTTAATTGAATTCAGTTAATCAGTTTTGATAAGGTTATGTATGTAAGAATGATAAATGATTTTTAATTCAAAGTGTAAATGTATTTAGTAAAATTAAAATTAGTCTTTTTTAAAAATATGGTATTTTGACTGTTTCTTTTAATAAATTGCGTTACGTATTACTTTTTTCATGATCTCTAACCTTAAATCTTTCACAGATTTATATTCAGAGTATAACAAAATTAAAACCTTATATAATATATAAAAAGTTATTTTTTTGGAATACTTACTTTTCTTTTAATCAATATTTTGTTTTCTGTGATCTAAACTAAATGTTTCGCCATAAAAGGGTTATATAAAAATTGAAATGAAAATGGAATCACAAGAAAGACAGTTGTTTTTTTCAAAGTGATTCCCAAATACGTAGAAAGAATGAGATTAATTTATTACTTACCTGAAACGCTTTGACTAAATATTTTTATAATTATTTCTAAACTTTATATTCAAATCAAGCAATGATTTCAGTTAAACATCTTGAAGGTCAAGAAATATATAAAATAATATTTTTACTTTCGCTTACCTATATATGTAATATATAGTATAGGAAAGTATTGCGATCGTAAACATTTTCGAATCTGATTTTTCAACGGAAATTTATGTTTTGTGGCCCACTGAGTCCAAATTACCAAGTCTCACAAAATAGTCTGTGTGTGTGAACAGTCTAGCTCAAAATAACTTTTTCGTCAAAATCGGCTAATCGGAAGTTCCACTTTTATAATTTATTTTACATATTTTTACAATTTTCTCATTTTATCAGTGTAAATTAATAGGTGTTTAATATAATGTAGGTCTTATTCTCATTGGTGTTCCCTAAGAAGCTTTAAATGCCTAATTTACAAAAATTCTTCTTCTAAAGTACCTTCATTTTTTTAAATTGGAATAATTAACCATTTCCCATTAAAAACTGATATAAAAATGTCTAAATATAGTGATTGAAGGAAAATTGATTTTTAACTAAAGGAAAAATAAGGATTGGAAGCTTGACGGAAACATCCGAAAATACCCGACCTTTGCCAGTCCTTATCCATAATTTCTAAAAATGTTTTCACACGAAATGTTGAGAATCTACTAATATAAATCTAATAATATATAATAATTATTTTAGTTTTTTTTTTCAACGGGTTTTGTGATAAAAGTAAGAATTTTTCTATAAGATCTATTTTCCCACAATCATTACTATTGTTTGGTACTGTAATCAGTAATAAAAGTAAATGAAAAGTGATGCAAACTTATAAATTTAACCGATTCGATAGGACAGAAA